TGTATAAAATATATAGTCATCCATGCATGTGTAATCATAAACATATTTATAAGTCATTAATCTAACCATAAGAATCTCAGTTGTAATTGTATACGTTTCAACTATTCTCATGTTATGATATTGGGTTGTCACCCAGCCTGAAAGCTACATCAACTATTAATAATATTGAGCCCCTGTCAACATAGCAGTTATTAATAGCCTCTCTAGTAACATCGTTTTTTTATGTTCCGTTGTCATTTGATTCCAATGGTTTCCAGAGTTGCGGCTCCATATGAATACTAGCAGTTAGGAATCTCATCATTCCCTATCATCCATACTTGCAAGTATGCATGTAATAGCCTACTTATAACACCACTTGTAACATTTTCTAAATTATAATTTCTATAAGAAGCATTCATCATAGATATTTTATTTATCATATACATGAATCACAAGTAACGCAAATATTTCAAATAGTACGAAAATGAGATTTCTACTTACAATTTTCTCCCCAGAGCATTGTATTGCAGCCTGCAGATCTTAGTCACTTGCCCAATTCACACTTGCTATAGTGCAGGATCGCAGGACTCGCAGATTCGAAGTGGAGTTGAAATGAGGGGAATGCGGCTCTTAATAGCTAAATCCTTTAATTCTTAGCTCTTTGATCCATCACATGGCTACGCATCACGCGAATAGGATGGCTGGGCACAGTGACGGGATTAGGGAGAATACTTGGAGGATTAATTAAAGTTAACTGAACATATAACTTCTATCTTCTCATATGTTTAAAATCCATGCATAGTATTATATATTAATTTGATTGATTCGACGTGTGGAATTTTATAAAATTATTTATATTGAATTTTGGGGAATGCAAAATTTGAGGTATACCTTAAAATTGTCAAAATTGGGTGTTACAATAACCTCCATTAGCTTTCTCATAAAGCCATCTTTCCATGGGATCGAGATTAATTTTAGTATGTAACTATTTGTTTATCTTTTTTTTTTACATATAAATGACCATCTCGAAAATCTTAAGTGATGCTTTTTAGCTAATGCTTAGTGATGCTTTTTAGTTAATGCTCTCTTACACTAAATGTTGTTGTATTGATTTGGATTCACTCTTGCACATGATCAGTTTGAAATAATCAGCTAATTAGGAAATATTGAATTCATCAACCCACGAAACTTGGAATCTTTGAATAAATGAAAAAAAAAATTTTCAAGCTCGTAAACAATGCATGCATGCATAATTTTGAATATCAATGCAGAAACTTTTGCAATGGTTAACTTTACATTCTTCATATTCATGCATGATTCATGGATGCCCTAAATAATTTGAAAATATTCTGTTAGTATTTTTGTATTATAAGAATATCATGGTTCCATTAAACCAGAAACATATTTTGTTTTGTTTATGTTTTGATTTGAATTAAAGCAACTTGGGTTGTTGTAGTTGTTTTTTAAAACAATCAAAAATATCTTTTAGATGCTTTTAGTGTTTTTAAGAAAAGAAGATGAATTGTTTTTAAAAACAACAACAAAGCCCTAATCCCACTACGTGGGGTTGGCTACATGAATCCTTTTCTCCATTGCATTCTATTTAGTGTCATATTTTCATTTAGTTCTAGTAAATTAAGATCACTTTTTATACAATAAGCCCAAGTCTTCCTAGGTCTACCTCTGTCTTTTTTAACACAAGTAGATTCTAAAACATCTACTCTCCTAATCGGATTATCATATGGTCGACTTTTAATGTGACCAAACCATCTAAGACGACTTTCTCTAATTTTTTCCGTCACAGGAGCTATACCAACCCTATCACGAATATATTCAGTTCTCATTTTGTCTCTAAGTGTAAAGCCACTCATCCACCTTATTATTATCATCTCGACAACACTTAACTTATTATTATGCTTCTCTTTTAAAGGCCAACATTCAGCTCCATAGAGCATTGCAGGTCTCACCACCGTTTTATAAAATTTTCCTTTCAGTCTAAGTGGTACTTTTCTATCACACAAAGGCCCGAAGCATTCCTCCACTTCAAGCAACCAATTTGAATTCTACTATTAACATCCCCATCTATATCACCATTGCTTTGAACAACAGACCCAAGATATCTAAATCGTTCCCACCTTTTAATAATTTGATCGTCCAAAAGTCACACTTCTGTCACTAGAGCTACTACTACTAAAATTACATTCCATATATTCAGTTTTAGTTCTACTTAAATGAAGGCCTTTAGACTCCAATGTAGACCTCCATATTTCAAGTTTTTCCTGGGATTTTCCTCTCGTTTTATCCACGAGAGTGATATCATCAGCAAAAAGCATACACCAAGGTACATCCTCCTGTAGATGTCCAGTAAGTCCATCTATAACTAAAGCAAAAAGATAAGGGATTAAACTCGATCCCTGATGTAATCCAACGGAAATAGGAAAATATTTGGTCAATCCTCCTTCAGTTTGAACACAAGTAACAGCTCTAGTATACATATCTTTAATGACTTGAATATAAATCATATCAACACCTTTCTTCTCAAGAACTCTCCAATGGATATCTCTTGGAACCTTATCGTAAGCTTTTTCTAAATCAATAAAAATCAAATGTAGATTTTCCTAACCTCTGAACTTCTCCATCAAACCTCTAAATAAATGTATAGCTTCCATAGTAGACCTGCCCAACATAAATCCAAATTGATTAGGTAAAATCTTTGTAATGCGTCTTAATCTATGTTCAATTAATTACCCTCCCATAATTTTAAAGTATGACACATCAACTTAATTCTTCTATAATTTGGACACTCTTGTGCATCCCCTTTATTCTTAAAAATGGGGACCAAAATATTCTTCCTCCACTCCTCAGACATCTTTTTAGTTTTTAAAATAATATTAAAGAGTTTAGTAAGCCAAGAAACTCCCTAATCTCCTAAATATTTCAACACTTCAATTGGGATATCATCAGGTCCTACAGACCTTCCACCTTTGGTTTTCTTTAAAGCCTCCTAAACTTCTTTTTTTCTAATACGACGATAAAAATAAAACGTTTTATTATTATTCAATCATTAAGGTCGATCGTATTTTCAGAAACTTCATTAAAAAGTTTATCAAAATAACTCACCCATATATGTTGAATATCTTTTTCTAAGAAAAATACCTTTTGATTTTCATCTTTAATACACTTTACTTGAGTTAAATTTTTTACTTTTCTTCTCTCTTTATTTGGCTAGTTTATACATATATTTTTCACTCTCCTTAGTATCTAATCTACCATAAAGATCATGAAAAGCAGAATTTTTAGCGTCACAGATTGTTCTTTTAGACTCCCTGCGGGCATTTGATATTTTTCCCAGTTCTCTAAGCTTTTACATTTAAATCAATTTTTATAACATAACTTCTTATATTTTATTTTTTCTTGCATATTATTATTCCACCACCAACTATTTTTATTTATAAAAACATTTTCTTTTGATTCTCCAAACACATCTTTTGCTACTTGTTTAATAGTGTTTGTTACTTTATCCCACATAACATTTGTTTCTTCATGAACATCCCAAATTTTAAAATCTTGAATTTTACTTATAAAAATAATTTTATTTGTCTTTTAGGTTCCCCCATCTAATTCTACGACGATGAGTCCTAGTATTCTTTATTTTACAACTCTTCATCTTAAAATCTAGAACTAATAAATGATGTTAGGTAGTTAAATTCTCACTTGGAATAACCTTACAATCTTTACAATCTCGATGATCTCTTCTTCTCATAAGAAAATAATCAATTTGTGTTTTATTAGATCCACTCTTATAAGTAATAAGATGCTCATCTCTTTTCTTGAATAAAACATTAGTAATAACAAAATCATACACTAAAGCAAAATCTAAAATAGCCCTACCTTCTTCATTAATTACTCCAAAACCGTAGCCACCATGAGTATTTCTGAAGTCTTCTACCACTCTACCGATATATCCATTTAAATCTCCTCCAATAAAAATTTTTTCTTCAAGAGGTATCATTTGTATTATGTCTTTTAAGTCATTCCGAAATTGACTTTTAAACCCTGCATCTAAATCTACTTGAGGAGCATAAGCACTTATAATATTAAAAATCTTAGTATCAATGATACTCTTAAGAGCTATAATTCTATCACCAACTCTATTAATTTTTACAACATTATCTTTCAAACTCTTATCAATAATTACACCTGCACCATTTCTAGTGCGACTTTTACCAGAATACCAAAGTTTAAAACCTAAATTATCAATCTCCTTAGCCTTTTCTCCAACCCATTTAATTTCTTGAATACATAAGATATTAATATTTATATGATTCATAATATCTACTAATTCTATTAATTTACCATTGAGAGTGCCTATATTCCAAAATCCTATCCAAATATTAGTTTCATTAGTTTCATGAACTAACTTCTTTACCCGCATTAGTCCGTAATGTGGGAACCCTTGCTTATTTGACACTACACCCGGGCGCCGATGTAGCGACCTTGCACACTTTTCACTGTATTCAGGCTATACAGCGTGTCGCTTTCAGGGGACTCCCTAGCACTTACACAATGATCAAAAAAATTCATGTCGTGATTTTTTTCGACAAGTTTTACGCCGACTGTCGATTACCTAACGCAACCTCCAATTTTCACATCCGGGCTTGGGGCCGGCAATCACAGTGTTTGAATTGTTTTTTTTTTAAATAATAAAATAAAAATATATTATACTATCCAAACATGTTTTTTAAAGACAAACAAGAATAGAAAAGTGATATGAAAGGGGCCTTAACTAGTATACCAGTTTTAGTGCTATTTAGCTCAATTTCAAGTGCAGGGGAAAACTAAGTTGTGCTTCTGTTTTGAATTTATTTCATCAATCTACTTCATTGGTTATGATCTCATCTTCATGAATTAGTGCTGTGTGTTATTTACTGCAATCCTATGTATCATCTCCAGATAGTATAATGGAGGCAAATCAGGATTCATGCATTGAATGTTCTTTTTTCTGTTTGATTTTCTTACAGGAGTCTTAGAAACTGCAGCTTGCAAGGGTTTATTCCTGATTTGAGTGGCGCTCCTGAGCTTACCTATCTGTAAGTTTTGCAGTGTTTGTTATCTACTTGGTGACTAGAAAAAGGAAACGGAGATTCCCTTTCTTAACGTTTTCTACTTTTATCAGCTCAATTTTTATTTTGCAGTTATTATTATTATTTTTACTTACATGCTGTCTTAGAGATCTTAGCTGGAACAACTTGACTGGGCCAATTCCTTCCAAAAGGCTCTCGGAAAATGTTACTACCATGTAAGCAAAATGTTTTTCTGGTACACTTTATAGCAGTGGCTGTTTGCCTATCTAGATATGAATGTGAGTAATATTTACTAAGCAAATTTGATGTTTCTTCGTAGCCATTGATATGTGCATTTACTTTTTTCTGTAATTTTCAGTATACTTTCAAACAACCAACTTCAAGGGTCTATCCCTTCAAATTTCTCTGATCTACCTGTTCTCCAGATATTGTAAGCACTCAAAACTTTTGGGGGTCAATCCTTTTATCCAGCGATTCTGAACATGTTAATGTTAGTGGACTTCTTGTTAATCTGCATCGTGTTCCTTAAAAGTATTTTTCTCACGCATATAAACAACATAATTTACCTTACCCTAACAGTCACTTTAACATTGTTCTTATTTCAGATCTCTCCGTAACAATAGATTTAGTGGATCTGTTCCATCATCTATTTGGCCGGATAAGGCTTCCATTGGAAATAGAAGTCTCATTTTGTATGTAAATCAGACCTCTATTTCCTTTTTGATGATATTTTGTGTGAAACATTGCTTAAGACTATGTACTTCTCTTGCAGTGACTTCCAGAATAACTTGCTCACAAGTATTTCAAAATCTTCAGATTCCTCTACAAATTTTACTATCTTGTATGCAAATTCCTGACTTGACACTTTTTTTTTGGTCCGTCAGATCTATTTCTCTAAGTACTTGATACATATTTTGACATTGTAAGTACAGCAAAAAACATAGCAAAGTCACTGATCTAGTACAAATGAGAAAACCTGATAGTATGGGATTTTGATGGGTTAAGAATGTCATGGCTGCTGTTCGGAGGCCTATAGTAAAGAAAAGAGCTGGTGGTGTGTGGGAATAAAGTTCGCGGATGTTAACATGGATCCACCATTTGTATTTAATCAAGTTATAGCCACTCCGCCTGAAAGAGGCAGCTACAACAGTCCAATAGGAAAGAAGACAACGAACAAATCTCCAAGTAACATAAATAAAAAACTGAAATTCCCATAACATGTCAAAGCAAAGTAATTATACTAAGAACATAGCAAGGTCACTGATCTAGTCCGAAGGAGAAAACCTGATAGAATGGGATTTTGATGGGTTAAGAATGCCATGGCTGCTATTTGGAGGCCTATAGTGAAGAAAAGAGCTGGGTAGCGTGTGGGAAAGTTTGCAGATGTTAACATAAATAAAAAACTGAAATTCCCATAACATTTCAAAGCATAGTAATTATACTAAGAGCATAGCAAGGCCACTGATCTAGTCCGAAGGAGAAAACCTGATAAAATGGGATTTTGATGGGTTAAGAGTGCCATGGCTGCTATTAGGAGGCCTATAGTGAAGAAAAAGAGTTGGTAGCGTGTGGGAAAGTTTGCAGATGTTGACATGGATCCATTACTTGTATATAATCAATTTATAGCCACACCACCTGAAAGAGGCAGCCACAATAGTCCAATAGGAGAGAAAACAACGAACAAGTTTCCAAGTAACATAAATAAAAACTGAAATTCCCATAACATGTCAAAACAAATTAATTATACTAAAAAAATGAACCAATCCTAATTCCAATCCTAAATTTAACAATTAGTGGCCCTAAAGGTTGGGCGGTTCTTGCGGGGTGGAAAAACCTGTACCGGCTAAGGCTATTTCCCATCCTCACTGTTTTATCTAGGTGACTGTTGACCTCATTTTTAGTGAGGTCTAGTCTTCCTCTTAGGGTTTAGGATCTAGCCTTAGGGATCTCCCTTTGACTATCTTAGAACTTTAGAAGTGGTGCCCGCCTCATTGTAATTTGACCTATTTCCGTCCTCTTTTGTGGTTCCAAGTGTGTGGTATCGACTTCTAGCATTTAGAAGGGTGAAACCAACATGAGGAAACCCAAAAGGGATCCCTATAGGACCTTTTTGAGCCTTAGGGTGGCCTTCTGCACAATTCGCACTCCCGCGCGCACAAACTTCGCAATTCGGAGAGCCAACACGTCCGATCGCCATAATTCACATCGCTTGCACTGTTACCCGTCGAAGACTCAAATGAAATTTTTGAAACAATCGATCGCGGGTCAATATTTTTGTGAAATTTGAATTTCGACGCGTTTTGATCCGATTGTCGACGATGTCGTCCGAGCGACCCCGGATGA